TTTTTTTTTTTTTTTTTTTTTTTTTTTTTTTTTTTACGACTGCCAGTTTCGTTTTATATACATAGCACAACTAGAATAATCGTAAAAATTGCTGCTTCTGTTGGGATGAAAACGCACAATTGATGCACATCAGAACACCAGCACAGTTCCACGTTTTCTAGCTATCACTATTGTGAGTGACCAGTTAGTGGCCATACAAAGGCATACAGAACTTCATTCTCATTACATTTTAATGGTGTCGAGGTTCTGGATCCGTGGCTTGTTTATTTTTTGCAACCACTGGTGTGAGCAGGAGGTAATGAGTTAGCGAACAGTACGCTTTGAAAGCACACTTCAAGCTGTTCAACTCCCTTTGTACAACAGCATAAAGCTCAAAAGTTTTCCACTGCAAACTCTCCGCGCTTTTAATTTTCAACTTAGCTAGAATTCGGATTGACTTTCAAGCAAAAAGGATTATGTACCTCAGTTTATCTAGATGAAAAATCATCTTCCATATTTTCATTGGTTTCCGAAATTTAGTATTTCGTTAGTCAAGCAAACGGCTGAGGAGTTTCTTCCCAATTAATTCAACAGTTGAGAATCATAACTGTGGTTATGGCAGTGGTCTTTAGTCACCTTTGGTAGTTTCTGACCACTACACGGTGCTGTATGCTGCAGGAAATTAAAATATTCCGCACGAATATGGCCATTTTATGTAATTTCGATTGGGTGCCACTGCCCATCATGTATCCGCAGTTAATTGTCTTAGCCGTTCACACATATTTTCTCGTTGCCGCCGTCGCCAGGCAATTCATTATCAGTGAAGAAGCCTTGAATAAGACGCCGGTTCGTTTTCTTTTTTTTTTCAATGTTTCTTTTTTTCATTTCTCATCAAAATTTACTTTCTTCGCAAGGGTAGTGCTTTCTCAAAAAATGTATCAGTGCGTTCTACGTACCGCAAATTTAGTGTTTGCATATATTAACACTATCTTCCACATCAAATCAGTTTTGCGCCAGGGTCCGCAAAACATTAATAGAATTTTCCAGCAAATTTTGGCAACCCTGGAACTGTATTTAACCTTGCTTGCTATCCTCACCTTCATATGCTTTTTCCTTCCCACCCATAAGTCGGTTTTTGGATAGGATTTGATCTTTAAACGTGTGATGTGGAGAAACGTAGATGACACCTGTTCACTTCAACCACTCGTTACTCCTACTTCATGACAATCGAAATGCCGTTCACTGTGTTAGTATTCTTTTTGCTCTTACTTTTTTGCGGCATTTTTTTTATCCGTTTCAGACGGATATTTATTTTCCGTTTATGACAGTGGTACAATTTGTCTTCTACATGGGTTGGCTAAAAGTGGCAGAAGCGATGCTGAACCCGTTTGGTGAAGATGATGATGATTTTGAATGCAATTTTCTCCTTGATAAAAATCTTACTGTAAGCTTTCATTTGCGTTCGTTGAGACGTTATATTTAAAAATACATAGAAGAAACGTACCGGTATTTTGTGGTATTATTGCTGTTCTTAAAAAACCAAGACAAGGTAATACAGATGAAAAGGTGCATGAGGTATTGCATTATTAGTAATATAAATAAAAATAGTACAGCTTAATGTACAGTGAAATTAACGTAACGCTAAATGTAAAGGATAGTAAAGAAGACTTGCTGAAGCATTATTTCATAAATATTATTTAGTTTTCTTTTTCTTTTTGTTTGGTGAGTGCTAACTGATATCAGGTTGGAACGATTCATGCGATGTATGAGGCGCTCCTTCACGGAATATGTCCCTAATACCAGCGCGGTCGGAACAATTTTTAAAATCCGGCACAAAATTCGAAAATGTTTGAAGCATTGAATTGACTGATAATTTTCAAAAAAGCACGCTTTTATTCAGATTGGTCTCACAATTGTCGATGCTGGTTATAACAAGACACCAGCTCTGCTCAAAGATGTCTTCTGGAGCGAAAAGCAAATCGAACCACTGTATTCGGCGCAGTCCGCTCGAGAGGAGCATCGCATCTCCGGTGTTACTGGATCAACCGCTAACGTCAAGTATCAGAGCAACACTTCCTACAAACTCTTTCACATATTGGATCAAAAAAACTTTGGTCCTCAAAATTTCAAGTTCTGCAAGCTTATATGCATCTCGTATCTGTCCTTGTACAATCAAGCAAAAAACTTGCAGATTCGAGGAAAAAGATGGATTAATTAAAATGCAGCCGCTATCAGAAGAAGCGGAAAATCGTCATTTACTGTCCGGGCCTTTTGGAATTTTGCGTAGCTCTCTGCGGTTCAGTTCGCGCGGTGAAAGGTAAGTTCACCGGAAGTCAAAAATTATTTAAAATGTCGATGAGGGATCTTCAACTGAATGTTACCGGCTAACCCAGTCCGTTAGGGATTTGTTTTTCTATGTTATCCCACCTCTGCTCTAATAGCCGTATTACTTTAGCTCACGGTTGGATTGCATAAACGTCTGTTTTGTCACTGGACTGCAATTACCTGCTATTGTTTTGACTCAGGTCAAGTAAGAGTGCTCCGATCTTCCCCGATAAAATAGCGAGGAGATTTTGAGCTCTGGAATTGTTTAAGTTGCGTATGTGCGCATTTATTTTTATCTTTGTAGAGGCGGTCGCCGAACCAGTCTTATCAATGCAGTACGTGATAAATTTGGCAGGTATGCAAGTTTGATTTAAGGCCGCTCAGTATACTGTTTCTTTTTAAAAGCTGTATGAATCGTGTAAAAAGAAACTATTCCAATCCAAAAGTGGTACTAATGGCTGATTTGGTCACAAGAGTTGATAATAATAGAGATGTTAATTTTGATATTTAAAAAATATAAAATTAGATTAAACAAACCTATTACAGGTCAATGAGCCATTCTTACTTCAATACGAGCCTGCACCATGGCGACAGCAATCGCAAAAATGACAGTGCCAACGAATTATCCGGTATGGAAAGGGGCTACTCAAAAGGAGAAAACGACGGTGAAAGTAGGCGCAACAGTTTAAGCCGTGTTTTGGAGGCTATCGTCAGTGAATCGAATTCGTACAGTAACCCTGCCATCGTCGTTACAGGTTCGTGCAGTAATTTTGAACGAGGGCGTAAAACAGTTTTTCAAAAAATATACTCTGCTTTCTCAAACATTCGTGCTCCGGGAACAAATAACCAGAAAATATTAGTTAAACAACTGAATAAATAGATGATTTTTGATTACTATATTTTAAAACTTTATGTTATTATTATCGTGCTGAAAATCAGCTGACTTGTCCAAATGGCGACCAGGCGATTTTTAATTTAAAATGCTTGTCTTTTTCGTCATTCATGTGATATG